TATATCCAGAGGAATGGAAAAATTGCCCAGCGCCAAGTTAGAGTCTTCTATCCTTTATTTGCATGCTCCCACCCAGTCATTTGGTGGGCATTGCAGACTATGAATGGGAGAACAATACCAAGTAATTTCATGTCACTACAACATTTGACTTGGTTAGTAGTGAGGAGAATCTTAAAAGCTTATATCAATGAGTTAACAGTTTCCAAGATGTTGACACCAGAAGAACTGGATGGTCCCCAGCTACCACTACCAACTGCTCTGAAAGGGGTCACATCAGAAGATCCTGGATGCAGTGGGGAGAAATGTGTAATAAAACTCAAAATCATAAAAAAGGACCAGGCTTAATGGTTGGATAAAGACTGGTGGAAACTTCCAAGAAGAAAACTCTTAGTAGGCACCCTCCAGGTCTGGAAATGAACTCACCTCCATGGTTCAATTTTCAGCCAATAATAGATTTATAAGGGGAAGAACAACACCAGGAAGGTGTGCACACCTTATAATAATCAACCATTTGAGATGAAAAGGACTGAAATTAGTCAAAGACAGAGTTCAGAAAAGTTATAAAAGGAGGCATAGGAACAGGAAACACGAAGAGAAAGTGGAATATGTAATGTTATTGTGGGGTTTGCAATGAATGTTATAAAACAAAATATGTATGAATTATTGAATGGAAAGCTGATCTGCTCTATATGAACCTTCTCCTAGTTCACAATAAAAAGTTTTTAAATACTTTAAGATAAAAAAGTATTAGAGAGAACCGTATCCTAATATTAAAAGGTTCAATTATGTAAAAAGATTCATGAATGATAAACTTGACTATACTTAAAGGATTGTCTCAAACATATTTAAAGCAAAAATAGTTAGAACCAGAGTTAAAAATAAATACATTTTCATGAGAATGGAAGATTTTGACACCTCCCTCAATTATAAATAAATAGCCCAGGGAGACAAAAAACCAGCAAAGATACAGAAAATTGAACAACATAATTAACAGCCCAGAAATATCTAGTGTTGAAAGGCAACCTGATAACATAAAAAGGGCAGATTCTGGAAAACAAAATACCTTTGTTTCAGTAGAAATTCTGTCAGTTACTGGCTATGTGATTTTGAACATTTTATTGTACTGTTGTTACTTTCCCAATTGTGAATAAAAATACCCAATATCTAATACAACACAAAGCATAAAACAAGTGTTTAATAAACACTGAGAAATGAATTAATAAAAAAATATGCAAAGCATGAGAACTATTTATAACTTAATGAAGAAAATTTAATGCTACATTTCCCTGCATTAAAAGCTAGCAGGATGAATTTACCCCAATATGATAGTGAGGCTGGCTCACAGCTGTATAAATTTATCAAAAGACATCAAAATGTCTACTTAAGATGGTTAAGTATTTTGCCACTTATACTCAAAAAAAGCTGATACTGCTCCACTCAAAACAAACAAACAAAGATGCTGACGGGGTCTTCTTTTGGAGCACATGATGTAGCTGTTAGGTGCCATCATGTGATCCTCTTTACAACAGAAAAAAACACCAAGTCTGCGCCATCCTTACAATCATTCCTGTGTTTGAACCCACAATTGCAGCCAATGTATCAATCCATCTTAGTAAGGCTCTTCCTCTTTTTCTAATAATCCTCGACTTTACTAAGCATAACGTCTTTATCTGGGGACTGGTCTCTCCTGATAACATGTCCAAAGTTCAGGAGATGAAGTCTTGGCACGGTCACTGCTAAGGAACAGAATGGCTGTACTTCCTCCAAGACAGACGTTTGCGCTTCTGGAAGTCGATGGTAATTTTCATTATTCTTTATTAACACCATAAGCAAATGCATCATTTGTCCTTTGGTCTTCCTTATTTGTTGTGAATTTTCACATGCACATGAGGCAATTAAAAATATTTTAGTTTGGGTCAGGTGCACCTTAGCCATTAAAGTGAGCTTCTTTGCTTTCTACTAAAGAAACATTTTGCAGCAAATGTGCCCAATCCAATAACTTGTTTGATTTCTTGACTGCTGCTCCCATGGATACTGATGGAGTGCATAATGCAGAATATTAAAAAAAAGAATGAAACTTTAATTGAATGTCAACATACATACATTCCTCCCTTATCATCTGCTAGGTACCAACAGAAATCTTGGGATGCACATGGTGTGATGGGCCTTCCTCCACCCTTACTTCCTCCCCCCATCTTCCTGGCATCTTTGGGCTCCCTACTGGCCTCCACCTACCTGCCTGCTACCTGGTATTATTCCATGTCCCCTTGGACTCTTAGAGCTGGACTGAGATGTCACAAAAGGATGAGAAAAGGTGTCCTGATAGGGTTAGCTACCCTCTCTCACATGGCCTGGGCATTGCACGGTGGCCCACAGAGAGTGCTGTGGGCATAGCTGCACACCTGTGTAGAGCCTGGGCTGTCGGAGGTACCACCTGAGAGCTTTTCAAAGTTGTAAATGCAAAATATTGGACAGCAAGCTAGTTGATAAATGAGGAGTGGTGTATAATGAAATCAATTGTGAATTATAAAAAGTTTCTGTAACTTAGAAGGTACTATAATAAAGCCTTCCCTTTTCTCCTTTTCTGACTGTTTAGAATAACTAAATAATTCTCATATTCGTATTATAAAACATTCATCTTCTCAGCCTTGGTGAAACAGGCCCATAGTAGAGGTTACCTGGACTATATAGATCTTGTCCTTTTTAGGTGTGCATAGTCAACATCAGAATGGTTTGAATTGAAAAACCCACTCAGTGAATCAGACTTTACCTTATTAAAAGGACTGATATGCTTCTTTGTACTTAAAACTGTAATGCTTTAGGGAGCGAAGAGGAAGACTAAGGTCATGGAATTGGGAGTCACTAGCCTTCAGTTCAAACCTCTTGCTTTTGGGGTTGCTTTATGGTGTATATATATATAGATATAGATATAGATCTATCTAGATAGATATATCTAGGATATATTCATGTACCTGTGGTATATATCTATATCTATATAGATATCTATATATCTATATATATCTAATATATATATAGATATATACCACAGGTACATGAATATATTCTAAGCTTTCCCTAAACCATAAGCCATATATATATATATATACCACAGGTACATGAATATATTCTAAGCTTTCCCTAAACCATAAGCCTTAACTTAAGAACAATCAGTTCTCATGATGCGGCCCTGCTACATATTTGCCCTCATGAAAGGCTTACTGAAGATAAGGGTGTTACAGCTGATTAAGGCTGGACGCCTGGAGGAGCAGTAGCTACAGGTTGGGCTGCTAGCTGAAAGAGCAGCAGTTTGAAACCACCAGCTGCTCCACAGGAACAAGACGGGGCTTTCTGGTCCGGTAGAGACTTACAGTGTCAGAAACTCAGAGGGTAGTTCTACCCTGCCTCTAGGGTCACCACGAATTGGCATCAAGTCAGATGGCAGTGAAGAAAGTGTAGTGAAGAAATCACATGGTGCTTGGCCAGCACAAAGAATGGCTGGGCGGTACAGATGGGAACTGGAAACGCAGGGAATCAGGACAGATGAACCCCCAGGACCAGCGGGGAGTGGCGATACCGGGACAGAAGGGGGATAGAAGGGGGAACCGATCACCAGGATCTACATAGAACCTCCTCCCTGGGCAATGGGCAACAGAAAAGTGGGCGAAGGGAAACGCCGGGCAGTATAAGATAGGATAAAATAATAATTTATAATTTATTAAGGGTTTATGAGGGAGGGTGAGAACTGCGAGGAAGGGGGAGGGGAAAAAGGAAAATGAGGAGCTGATTCCAGGAACCCAAACGGAAAGCGAATTTTGAGGATGAGGGCAATGAATGTATCGTGTGCTTTACACAATTGATGTATGTATGTATTGTGATAAGAGTTGTATGAGCCCCAATAAAATGATTTTTTTAAAAAGAGAAGAATGGCTGGGAACTTAAAAGGTTATCTGAAAACAAGCAGCATCTAAATGAGGTGTCAGCTAACCCCACATGGAAGAGGTTTATCAGCCTGTGTGATACAAGGATACCAAATAACAAAGTTCAAGATCAGAGAGAAGAAATGTATGTGAACTTACATTCTGAGTACCCAGTTTAAAGGCTATGGAAGACACTGAAAGCCCTAAACTCATTTGCAAAGACTTCATGGGGAATAAGCGTCCATTGACTTCCCTGGAATCATTGACCAGAGGTTTGAAGAGCCCCGGCCTCATAGAGAGCACATCAGAAAATGAATATAGACATAGTTAGGTTAAAATTAAAAATCTTATTTATATTCCCATTTAACCCATTCTTAATTTTTTCTCGTTTTTATTATTTTCTGCTTTCTTTATGATTGAGGTATTTCTGTGCTCTATTTTGTTATTATTGTTGGAGATACATTTTATGTATGATTTTCTTTAGAGGATATCCAGGATAGGCAAAGCCATAAACTAGTTAATAGTTTCTTAGGGTTATGACAGGGGAAGTTGGGAAGGGAAAGGTAGAGCTAATAACAATAAGTACACATTCAAATGTTATACAATTGGTTGTGGTAATGATTACACAACTCTTTTCAATATCTTCAAAGATAGAAAAATTGTATAAGTGGGGGGGGGGGGGGGAGGGAGGGGAAAAAAGAGGAGCTGATACCAAGGGCTCAAGTAGAAAGAAAATGTTTTGGAAATGTTGATGGCAACATATGTACAAGTGTGGTTAATACAATTGAATGATGGATTGTTGCAAGATTTGTAAGAAGCCCCCCCCAATAAATGATTAATTAAAAAAAAAAGAAAGAAAAATTGTATAAGCAATGTTCACCTTCCAACAAAATAGTTTTGTTTTGGAAAATGTAGTTCTTTTTCACAAGGGATACGTTATTTGTGTTAACACATAATGAGTTCATTATTGGATTATTTTTGTCATGAATAAATAAGCAAGTCTCTCAAAAAATAAGTGATTATTCACTTGTAAAATTACAAAGATCCTTACTTTTTCTTTTGCACGTTTTATAAGCTACTCACCTCCTCCTTCGATGTGTCTGAGTCCAGTTGTAGGGTGAGATACATAATGATATGAGGGGTGCTTAGAACTTTCTGCTGGATATCTTCAACCTCTTCTCCCCATAGAAGTTGGACTAAATCACTCGTGTTCAGCTGTGCCTTCGTCTGCTTTGGCTGGGTTGTTTCCTTTTTCACAGCATATGCATTTTCAAGGGTCAGTTTTACCTGTACAAATGAAGGCAATGTTTTCGTAAGGAAAATTCAGCTATAACTTTCATAAGAAGATTCTGTATATACACTTACATTTACAGTTGCAAAAGCCCATTGGTACTGAGTGGATCTAACTCATAGCAACTCTGTATTAGAGTTGAACTGCCAGACTGCCACAACATTTATAATTCATCCTAGGATGTGGAATTTTCATGGCAGTGATTGCATTCTATTTATATTCCTATCTCCAGCTCCTAGCATATATTATTATATTTATTGAGTAACAATGTATAATATTCCACACAAATAGTCAAGCATTTAATTGCTATATCGAAAGTGGTTTTAGACTCTAGGGAAATGTGTTTTTTTAAGTAACTTTACATAAGCAGTTAAATTTTTTCATCAAAAATTATTTTCAAAAAAAGCACATCATTTAAAAAAATCACCTATAATTCCACTAGTCCTCTCAATTGCTTTGTAGTTAAATTGTTTTTCATAATTTTACTATTTTTAATTTTGGACTGGGTATGTAAAGAGTACACATGAAGAAATTCAACAGTTTCTCATGTATAATTCAGTGATATTGATTATATTGGAGTTGTGTATCGATGTTCCCCCTCCTTTTCTCAGTTCAAGATTCACGTAAGCCCCATTCCTATTAATGTAACAAAACCTCCCATTCCTTTTCAATTTCCCAAGTTACTGTCAATTTGATCCCCTGTTGACAGTTCTTAAAAAAACAAAAGTGTTCAAGGCAGACATTTTTTTCCTTACTACTAAGTTAAACTATTGTTTGGCTTTTAAGAAGACTTCAGAGGATATTTCTAGTTTAAGATTAAGGAATACCTTAGGACGATACTTCTGGGGTTCATCAAGTTCCATGGCTTCAGAAAGTCTGGAGTCCATGAAAATTTAGGCTTCAAGCCAGTTAAAATGGTTCAGTCAAGGGCAACAAAGCAAAACTGGAAGAGACCTGAATTTGTGGGTATACATACAGAATAGTGACTGGAACAGGAAAAATTTCAGGTCAAATTCCTGGAATGTGAGACTTGGAAGAGGCACAGTGAACAATTTCAGGACACTAATGTTGGAGACTGGATTATTGCCCGGACTGGAGAGAGTGATCCACATGCAAAGTGGCATGGTTGGCTGCTGGCTTTGAGCCAGGCATCTCTATCAGAGTACTTAAAAAAGTTCATGGAAAAACAGCATGGAAAGGTAATGATTTTCCCATGAACTTTAAAAAAATGAAATGGTTTTATTGACATATAATTGGTGTACCATACAATTGAATGGCTTAAATATATTAAAGAGTTGTGAATTCATTGCCATAATCAATTTCAGAAGACTGTTTCAATCTTGTATTCATTTTAATTAGCTTTTCCCCCCAATCTCCCCTCCCCTGCTATAATCCTAAAACATATTTATCCAGTTACTATCTCTATAGATTTACCTTCCTAAATTTCATAAAGGAAAATATCCAATGTACTTTTCCAATTCACTCTGCCTGAGGACAACACTATTCACATCTTTGATCAACAGACACAGGATTCAATGGAGGCTTAATCTATGTGGGAGCTCTGCAAATGGTTTTGGGTTTTCAGTCAGTCATAGCCTTCTGCAAAACTAGGTGTTCAGATTTTAAGTGCTAATACAGCTCCCCCTTGGATCATGGCTTTTATTATTAATTATCCTTTGATCACAGTGGCTGGTGTGCTTCTTCCATGCAGATTTAGATGACACCTCACTTAGATAACTGCTTCTTTTAAAGCAAGTCTTTAAGACTGCAAACACTATTTGTTTTAATACCTGGGCACCATCTTGCTTGTTCACGACACTTTGCTATAACAGCCATATCATCAGTATGTATTGAAGGCAAATACAGAGCAGGGTCACATCATATGAACTAATTGTTCTTAGATTAGAGTTTATGTTTCAGTGTGAGCTCAAAATCCATTCATATATCTGTAGTTTATATAAATTCCTGGTCCACTTTAAGGGCAGCATTACCAATTTCTTGAAACACAATATAAACAGCCTCAATGGTATAGAATTTAAAATGCTATTGAGAAAAGGGAAACATACAAAAATAAGAAAGCTTTTTAGACTAAGATATATAAAATGTTCACTTACACCATTTAAAAACTTATGTGACTGAACACTGTTTAAGTAAACAAAAAGGGTGGATGCAAGGCAATAATTATAACACTTTCACTAAGGCCATCCTATGTCTGAAGAACTAAGACATGTCATAGAAAAACAAGGAATATGAAAATAGTAACTGTGGTTTTGATGCTTAGGGATTATGTCAACTAGACTCTCCTGGGTAAAGGTATGGGTGGAGCTTAATTTATCATTTGTGTCACAGACTGACGACACCTTTTTGTATGAGAGAGAGCCAACGAGCAGAGTCTAATCTTTGGCTCTTCGTCTTCTGATGGAATTGGATTTTGTATCTGGCCCCTCGATCTCCAGTTGCACTACTGGCTGATACCAGCCATCAGCAGACTACCAATAATAGATTCATTCAGCTGACTTCAGAACTCTGCATCCACCAGCCTGTGCCCCTGATCACTCTGCTTCATCTTATCTCTCCCTGTTCACCAGTTTCCAAAAGTCAGGAGAGGGCTGACTTGAACCAGACTAGACTGAGCTCTTTCTAGAATTGTGTAAGCCATTTCTTGATATAAATCTCTTTTTATACACAACACATACAAGTGACACTGGTTTTGCTTCTCTAGAGAATCCAACCTAACACAGCGGAAGTCTTCAGTTGCTAGTAATTATTATGAAACCTCAAAGCAAGTGATTTGAATCAAAGTCCAATGACTTCCAAATCCACAACCTTGGGGTAGCAGACATCTGCCTTCTGAAGCTCCTTCTTATTTTTTACTCAACCTGGCAAGTGAGTAGGTTGCGTTGAGCACACTGCCCTTGTTTTCTAGGAGGAAGATTAAGTTTCGAGCAGGGTGCTGACTTGCAGTTTTTTCCTGTTACTTTTCTGGTACACACTCACTTTACAAATCTGGGTCCATCCTAGTTTTGCTTCATCAGCCATGACTGACCCAGGAAGAACCAGCTCAAAGTGCTGATGAAAACGTGTACTTCTGTTTTGTATTTTTCAGGATTCTTCCATAGAATTTTTAATGGTAACGGTAGCTGGGAACCATCCAGGCCTAGTCAAAGTAGGCAGCTGGTCGTGTAGGGAATTAGCTACACCTAACTTATCATTCCCCTATTCCTCTCATCTTCCTCCATTGCTCTAGGGCAGTGGTTCTCAACCTGTGGGTGGCAACCCCTTTGGGAGCTGAATGACCCTTTCACAGGGGTCGCCTACATCATGACAGTGGCAAAATTTCAGTTATGAAGCTGCAACAAAAATAATTTTATGGTTGGGGGGTCACCACAACATGAGGAACTGTATTAAGGGGTTGCGGCTTTAGGGAGGTTGAGAACCACTGGTCTAGGCAATGTTCCAATAATATCCAATTGTTTTGTCTTGGATGGGGAGACTTTAAGACTCCAAACACTACACAAAAAACAAGGAGGTAAAACAGAAACACTAAACACATTATTAGTCTATTTAACTGGGATGTCCTAAGAAACCTAACCCTAAGCCATAACCCTACAAACCAAAGAACCAAATCTCATGCAGTGCTTGGGTGTACTTTTGTCTTGCTCGCTTTGTCATGCTTATAAAATAGATCACACAACTTTTATCAAGTAACCTTTTTACAAGTATACAACTTATTAACAACAGTTATAATAATTAGCTGTGCAACCACATCCCTATTCAGTGTGCAAAATAAACCTTACTTGATTAAAACTTTCCAAGAGACAAAAAAAAATCTAGCAATCCTTTTTGTTGGCAAGGACTAACTGTTTACCATGGTATTTAATTTGGCTTGTAGCAGACCGTGGCATTTCAGGGACATTAAGTTATCACTACCTACCAAACGTGAATTAAATTAAATAAACAAGTTTTGTAAAATAAGTCTCAGGTTTTAAAAACAAGTAGACAGAAGAAATGTCTTCCAAATTCATCAAGATGTCTGCATTTATACAGTGAAGATGAAATAGGTCAAGACTAGCAGTAATCGCTGTAAGATTAATAGTGAGTGAAGTATAGTACATAGGAATGAAGAAGTTCCTCATGAAATTGTTCTGACCTGGAACATCCAAAAAATCGTCACACTATCCTTTTTTGACCTACTCTGAGGTCCATGATCTTTTTCTTTACAAAATATGAAAACTAATTTAAATGTACATATAAAATAATACAAAATTCTTAAACAGGGATCTGCTAAACTGAATGTTTTGTTGGATAGGGAATTCTTTTGTCTGGGAAGCTTTGGCAGTGTTACCAGGATATGGGAAATTGTTAGAATTTGTGGAAATCCTGGGTACAGAGCTTGTAACAGAATTGAAAAAAAATCCCAAACAAGGAATTAGTGATGACCCAATCAAGTCCAAGCCAGGACAGAGCTGCGTTCCATAGGGTTCTCAATGGCTGTGGCCTTTTGGAAGCAGAATGCTAGGCCCTCCTTCAGAGGCACCAACCAAGGATTTGAACCACCAACCTTTGGGGGAGTAGTTGAGTGTGGTTTGTGCCACTAAGAGACTCCTGTGATTATACCTAAAAGATGGGAGGGAGCTTTTGAGATTGTCTTCTGACAATGGGCTTTGGCATAGGGCTTTGGATGTGGAAAGGCAAGTGGAGGGAGAGAAGTGCGATCCCAGGCTGGAGGGTCTGTGAAGGCTGAGTAGAATCTGTGGTGAACCGAGAGAAGATGGATTCCTAGAGGCAGGAGTGGCTCAGAAGAGGGAGGGCATCTGTTTCAGCTGAGATTCTTGTGGGTGAAGAGGTCAAAAGATAGTTATGACTAACCAGAAAATGGGCTGTTAGATTTAAAAAGGAAAATTCACTAATTTTACTTTATGTACCAACAACAACCTAAAATTTTAGACGGGCTTGTTATGCTTTGAGAAAAACAACATACTAAGAAACAACATTA